AGGCAGAAGGCCGCCCACCAAGAGCCGGGGTCTGCCGGAGGTTTCTTCCGTTAAAGGGAGTTTTTCCTCCCCACTGTCACCAAGTGCTTGCTCAAGGGGGATTTGTTGGGTTTTCCCTATGTAATAATATTGATAACAGTAAGGTCTAGACCTTACTTTGTAAAGTGTCCTGAGATGACTTTTGTTGTGATTTGGCCCTATACAAATAAAATTTGATTTGATTTGATTTGATTTGAAGTGTGGATGGATGAATTTTTCCTCTTTTCCTCCATGAGCCATCGTGACAGCTCCTTTCATCCTGGCTGAGGCCCCGGTGTTAGTGCTGGCACTGCACTCCGCCTGCCTACTTTATCTTACACACATACACACACAGAAGTCGAACCCTCCTGAACCCTGTTTTAGTGAGGCTCCAGCTACACTGCATGAAATCTGTTTATATCATTTGGTGGCTGTGAAAGTGTTGGTTTGGACCACAGTGTCAGCCTCAGAGCTACAGTCTGCAAAGAAGAAAGATGGAGAAAACAGGAGACTTCTAATGTGATATGTTCACTTTCGGTGGAATAAACTTAACATACCGTACCTCGGTGTAGATTCTTTATCTCTCTCCTGGTGTTGTGACTCCTGTTTTTTCCTGCTTCCCATATTATCTTTTGTTGCATTTCTCATCCCACTACGTTTTTGCCTCATTCTGCCCACTAAATATGCTCCTCTACTCTTCAGTCCCCTCTACTCCCTACCTCATGTCTAAACCTGTGGCTCAGCATCATTAAGCTCCAGTGTGGGTTGCCAGTTTCTACCAATTATTTGGTGAGAACAGCATGTTCAGTTGAGTGAGCTGGCTGGTTGCTTATCTGGCAGTCACTAGCTTGCGTTTCACTACTGAAATTGTACAAAATACTTACTGGGTCATTGCTTAGAGGAGGAGTCTGGATAAGAGTCAGAGTCGAAATATACTACTTTGTTCGTTTTCATTGTAAATGTATCAGGGGTTGTATGGTTGGATTGAGTCTTTGTAGTGGATTTCTTTTTCAGGCCTGATGTGATTAATAATAATATTATCAGTCTGAAAACACACACACCCAGACCTGCACAAGAAGTGTGTTAAATGAAAGCATGATTGTTATTTATGGGTGGTGGGTAACATATTTTGCTGGTGTTAATCTCTTGTATGGTCTTAAGAGAGTTTGGCATGGGTGTGCGATCCTCAAACTTTACTAAGCTCATTCTGCAGTACACACACACACACACACACACTTAGCCAGGAGCAGTGATGCGTACATAAGGTGCTGATGTCCCAGGTTTTTAAGGATCACCTTGCCTTGTAATTGCTTTGGAATCATCAGAGAGCTGCCGACGCTGTCACTCCATAATCACAACCCTCAACCTCTCAGCCTCAACCTCGACCTTCCTTCACTTTTCTTGTTTTGACTCTTGTTCTCTCTGTTTCTGTCTCACTGTCTTTCTCTCTCTCATTAGCTCCCTCTGTTTATTTGTCTGATTCTCTGCTTTCTATTCCTCTTCCTCTGTGTCCTTGATGTTCAAGTTTTTTCCAGCATTATTTTGCATAGTTAAGAAGTAATGGGGGAAGGGGATGTGCACATGTGCTGTCACTTCTCTCGTGTTGTCAGGTCTAATTGTCAGCTCATCTCTGAACAATGTTATTTACTTTGAGTAAACAGTATGTCTCTCTGCTCCGTCTCCAATTAGAATCCACTTGAAGCAGCCAACACTGGTAGGGGCCGGAGCCAAGTGACTCTTTATGTGTGTGCTATTAGCCAGCATTTAATCAACTAAGTTATTTCCATAAAACAAGTCATAAAGAGTTAGCTGTGAGATGTAGCAGCTTTGAGGCAGTGGCCGTCCTGCTATTCACAGCCTCTCTTTGGGTCTGGAAGAGAAGCTGGAGTCGACTTAACTCTGTGTTATTTAAAAAGCAGCTGCACACACCTTCAATGAGACGATTATGATCTCTCTCTCTCTCTCCCTCCTCCTCTTCTTCTCTTAGGCAATATATAGTAACACTTAAAACTGAGCAACATTTAGCAAAAGAACTGCTCATGTTGCTGATTGTTACTTGATGCCTTCCCGTAAGGCAAGAGGCAGCATGCACAATTCATCATTCATAACGAAGTGACTGAAAGGGGGGGTGAACACAAGAGAAACAGCAACAAACAGACCGGGCCTATTTAAGACAGGAATGGTGCCATGGCAACCGATTGCTATCTTATTGCGATGTGCTGCCCTTTTGTATGTCGTTACAGTAACCACTGGCAACAGTAGCGAAAAAGAGACAATATTACAGTGTGTGATGGAAATCATTTAAGAGGAGGTCAAAGACAGAAAGGGTCAAAATATAAAAGATGTTCAGAGGAAGAAAGTGCGACAATGAAAGAAAATAAGTAAAATGCGAGACAAAGAAGCCAGACAAAACCAACTTCACAAATATAAATCTTCAAATGATGTAGACATTTCAACATCTAGAAACAATTTCAAAATGCCGTCGTGTTCACTAACTAGTTGCAGTCTTGCCGCAACTCTACCACAGCAGCTACCTCTTACACTTGAAAGTGCTGCTGAACTGAGAGGTGAAGGAGCCAGTCTAAACATGCTGCAGTATTGCTGCTCTCCCCTCACACGTACAGGTTTGAAGAAGGGTGTGAAGTGAAAGAGAGAAAAAGAGAAGTCAAGGAGTCCCCTCAGGGTGTGTGTGACAGAGACAAACGGCTGACAGGTTTCCTGGTGCTCTCCTCCTCTCCACATGCTGATTGCTGATGTGGCGCTTTTGTTGAGTTACATCACTTGCCCCAGTTGTGTACAAGCAAGAGCATGAAACATTTTCTCACTTACTAATTGTGTCATAATAGTTTGTATGTTATGTTGAAATGAACACAAAAACTCACATTAAACACAATCAAATTAACATTAAAATTGTTCAATTGAAGTTGAAATAATTGTTATCATCTCAAAGTTCATCCCGTTTGATTAATTTGTGTTTTCTCCAGGCTGCTGGCTCACACGTGACCTTCACTAACCCTCTGGTGATAATAAGGATCCATCTGCAGGTGGCAGGACAGGTCGCCTTGGGGCCGGGGATCAGTGCCCTGTCCGTCAATAGGGACCTAGGCTACCTTGGACTTTGCAAGGTGGGAAATATTTTTGGCTTAAGAGGTGTTGTCTGTTGATAATTGCACACAATCCAGATACAGTATCAAACACTACAGGTTGTAGCTTGTAAATATAATTGTGTGGATGCTTTACAGCATCCACACAATTAGCATAGTGTGGATGCTATGCTCTCCTGTTCTTTATTTATTTATTATTATTATGGGATCTTCCACCCTTTTTTGGCACTTTATAAGTCCAGCATACTTTCAGCTATACAGGCCATTGAGGTCTTGATCTGTTCAACTCTTCAAGGACATCCCTACTTGTACTCAACTTTTTTATAACATTTATACTTTTTAATCTATTCAGCTTTATATTTTGCAATACAAGTCAATTTGAGCTCAAAGTGCTGAGTCAATGACAGTCTTGGAGTGCCATCTGGTGGTTCATAAAATGCAGCGCAACTGGGACATGCCCCAACATAACTCCTCTTTCTGTCTCTCTCCCCCTCCCCCTCTCTAGTCTATGCCCCCCACGCCCACACACGTTCACACCTACCTGTTTTACCTAGTTTGTGGGGTCCTACTGGACTATTTTCACATCTTTAATAAGTTCAGCATACTTTCAGGTAGCAAAGCCATTCAGGTATCAAAATGTTCAGCTCTTCAAGGACATTCATGCTTCTATTCAGAATTTTTTTAAACTTCATACCTCTGAAATATTTAGCTTTATTTTAAAAGTTTTCCCTGATTCAAATGAATGGGAAAATTCTACTTCAGCATACCTTAACCTACTGTATTTCGGGTATCAAAATGTTCAGCTTTTCAGGGACAGTCATGCTTCTCGTAACAATTTTTCAAAACATCACACTTTTAAAATATTTGGCTTTATTTTGAAAAGTTTGCCCCTTTCAAATGAATGGGGAAATTCTACTTAAGCACACTTTCAGGTAGATATGCCTTTCAGGAGTCAAAATGTTCAGCATTTTCAGGGCAATCATTCAGCACATTGCATCCACACGCATTTTCGACAGGGAATGCATTTCTCTAGTTTTATTATCTGTTTATGCTGGTGTTTATTTTCTTGAGTGAGACTATAGCTACATTTGTCCTGGCTGTTTTTGTAAGTCAGCTAATACTCCTAACAGATCACCCAGACACAGCATAGATTTGCTAAATAAAAAATCAAACAAACAGATGTGTGCCAACAGCCAGTTATCCCTCTTTTTGAGAGTAAGGATATGTGGGGGGGTACTTGTTACGTACTTGTTGGATGTTACATCAACGGCTGAAAGATCAAAGGACTCAGCCAACGTTAAAGTTTGGTTTGCAAGTTTATTTCACTTGACTATTTCACGAAACCGGAGAAACACATAAAACCATTTTGCTGCCCGTACATCCACTGACAATCCTCTGAACGTGACCAGATGGATTCAACAGGACAGGTGCGATTTTTAATTATGCTACGTATTCAGCAATATGCGAGGCTCACGACTGTGATCGCCAAAACGAAATGTGAGTTACCAATGGATTACTTTGGATAGCTCAAAAACTAAAACCCTCGAGAACACCATTTCTCTTTACAGGTCAAAGTAAGTGTACAGTTTATAACTTTAATACCAAACCATAAATGTGAGACATAAAATGTGCAATCGAAAAAATTTTCCACATTGTCTGTTTGTTAGCTAACCTCTGATTTACAAACACTTTTCCGGCTCACATACAGGCTGCACTCTGGATCACCTACAATAAATTCACAACTATTTTGATAATCGTATAGAAATAACATGAAAAGATGAGAAA